GAGATGTTGTACTACTGTCTAGTGACTTAGGCAAATATGGTAATTTTCCAAGGTGTCCTGGGAACCCTTTTTTTGATCAAAAAAACAGGTCTCCAGGACACCTTCTAAATTATCAGAAAAATCCGAGTGGATATTGAAACCAAGCGGAAAATTGCCAGGCAAATGTGGTTCAAGTGACATACCCACACGGCTATCCACAGGGCTAGGTCATCTGGGCTCACACATCGAGCAATACAGGATGTTTAGGTGGGGAAACCTGGTGTCATAGGACCTTTGGACGCCTCCACCATTAAAATAACAAGCCTCTTCACTGAACGTCACTTTTCCGTGGATTGTGATGGTTGTGGCCTGATGACATAGGACTTGAGAAAATGATCCTATTGGTTCAAGCCTGATGACATAGGCCTTGGGAAATCGCCATATATGTTCGACAAGTCCTAAGTTACTGGTCAGAAACTTGTGGGGGTCAGAAATTGCCATCATGTGTCCCGACTCCCAAACTCAGTCGCCCCAATCAGAGCAAGTTTCACACAAAGGGCCAGAAGCGTAAAGGCCAGAAGTTCAAAACGATGTTCACGCGCATGTTGAATGTCCTGAGCCGGTCTAAGGCCCTAAGGGAACCTATTTGTACAGCAACTACAAGTGCCTGCTCGACGGCTTGTACTTGCCCCTCCCATCTGTCGAGTGGCAGGCTGAGATGGCTCGCAGGCATCTAGACAATGAGAATCTAACTTTGCCTACTAAAGATCAAAAAGACTTCTCAATGGTTCTTGTTCAATCACAACAGGATTATGTGGCCCACAAAATGGTCCCAAGACGGACCCCGAGGTCTTCTTGGAAGCTTAGCAGTTTTGTTGTCTTTGCCAAGTCATTGAATCTCAGGTATGTGGACACGCAAGGAGTTTCCCGTGTCCAAGGAGGAAGCGACTTAAAATCTTCTCAGCACTACCCAAGACTCTTCGGCGCAGCAATAGGGGATGCTTGGGTCAAACACAAGGCGGTGGAGCCAACGCTCAAAGATCAGTGTACTGTAACATTAAACTTCTGATTTGGAATCCGGAAAGTACTAGCATTCTGTGTGCTATTTTTTCAGGCATCCATCCAAGCTCAAGTGGCCAAACGAAGGAGCCTTTGCTTCAACACTTTCACAAACTGAGAGACCTGCTGGCTCTTGTTAACACTAGTCGCTGTTTCTTAAATCTTGACACCGTTTAATCCCAATTCCCATGAATGCAAGGAGCGATCTCATCAAATTGGAACGCCCACGTTGTTCTTCGAAGGAACCTTGGATATATGCATTATGGGTTTCACGGATTCACGGGATTCACGACTCACGGATTCACGGGATTCACGGGATTCACGATTCACGGATTCACCGTTTCACGGTATGTATACGTCTGACATATATTCGTCATAAAGAGTGTTATCAAGTTCTCATGTAAAGGACATAAAGACATACTGTACATAATGCAACATGTACGTAGATGTTTCTTGCGTGGGTTCGAGTTTATGCGCCCAGGACAATTGGGACAAGTACTGTGACATCCGGGGTGCCATCTTAGCTCTACGCTGAGGGTGTGGAGCTATCTAATTCGTCCGTGTTGCTGTGAACGCGGCGAGGCTTAATTTGGTTTTGGCCCAGACTTGCCATTCCAGCATATATCTTTTGTCTACATCAAGCTTTTGGAAAGCTCAAAGCACACCCTGCAGAACTTTTTTCCCAACTTTGGTCAACTTGTGGCAACCCGTGAATCGTGAACATTCCATGAATATGGCGTGAAAAACCGAGAATTTTCATGGGTTTTGTGGTGTTGTTTTTTGGAAGAAAATGAGAAGGGAATGGTCGAGTTTGGGCGTGGGTTGGAAGTGCGACCCTGTTGTCGACAGGGATTTGGCGCATCAAAACAGAAAATGTAGCTACATTCTGTGTGTGTTACATGAAATCTTGAACAGTTTCTTCTCCCACAGTGGTTTTCATTACCTTTGTGCGTCCTGGTTCATACAGGGCTTGGAGGTTTCGAGCGCTTGCAGTGCACACCACATAGCTACCACAGCTATGGTTGCGGCGGCTGGGGTACCACCATGCCGGCTTAGGGAAAAGCTCACTGTGAAGAATGGCAAGGTTGAGAGGAATGCACGGGGGAAGAGTCCTGATGCCAAATCTTTGAAGGAAGCAGCCGCAGCTACGGCTACACCCCCACCTAAGAAGAAGTGTGAGACAGGTTCAGGTGAGAAGCTTGTCAGAAGGAAGATTTCCTTCGACGAGAATATACTAGTGACACCTATCCGCGCAGAAAACAGAGGTCAGCAGAGCATGAGTCCACAGGAGGCAAAAGAGATCATTGCCGAAATGAAGAGGAAGCAGCGTGGGGGTGAGGTGGAGAGCGATGAGGAGGTTGCAACTAGCAGTGATGGCCCCATCAAAAAGAAGAACCCGAAGACCGGGGCAGTCAGCATATTGAAGAGGAAAAACGATGGCAAGGAAGAGCAGGAGCCATCAAAGAAGGAGAACAAGGCAGCAAAGAAGACAAAGAATAGCAAGGATGAGGAAGATCCAAAGGAGGATGAATCAGCGAAGAAGAAGAAGAATGACAAGGAAGCTGCAAAGGCTGAAGCAGCGAAGAAGAAGAATGACAAGGAAGCTCCAAAGGAGGATGAGTCAGCAAAGAAGAATAAGAAGTATGACAAGGAAGCTGAAAAGAAGGATGAATCAGCGAAGAAGAAGAAGAACGACAAGGAAGCTCCAAAGGAGGATGAATCAGCGAAGAAGAAGAAGAATTACAAGGAAGCCCCAAAGGAGGATGAATCAGCGAAGAATAAGAAGCATGACAAGGAAGCCCCAAAGGAGGATGAGTCAGCGAAGAAGAGGATGAAGAAGAAGAATGACCAGGAAGCTCCAAAGGAGGATGAACCAGCGAAGAAAAAAGAAGAAGAAGCATGACAAGGAAGTTCCAAAGGAGGATGAGTCAGCAAAGAAGAAGAACGCCAAGGGAGAGCCAAAGGAGGTTGCGTCGGGGAAGAAGAAGAATGAAGAGGAAGTGCTGAAGGATGCATTGACAAAGAAGCAGAAGAAAGTACGTGAAGAAGAAGAAGAAAAGGAGGAGCCAAAGAAGAAAGAGCCAGCGAAGACAAAGAAGAACAAAGATGAGAAATCGGTGAAGGCAAAGGTGGGAGGTTTGTTTGTTCGAACGCAGTTTCCCAAGAGTTGCATTAAGCGTTGGACTTCCACTGGGACCAAATTTCCAAGGCCGGCCATTTTGGGTCGAAGGGTGAAACACCCAGCAAAACAAACAACCATTGGTCGATGGTTCAAAACAAAGGTACCGTCTGAGGAAGATGAGCTGGATTCTGAGGAGGACGTTTCCAGTGAAGAGTCCGATGTATCTTCGATATGCTCTGAGAGTGAAGAGAGCAGCAAAGAAGGTGAAGAGGTGGAGGAAGGAAGCGATGAGGCAGAAGAAGCAGAAGAAGCAAAAGAAGAAAGTTCTTCAGACGCTGAAAGCTCAGAGGCAAGTGAAGAGAGCTCTGAGGAAGAGGAGGAGGACGAAGAAGAAGAAGGAGCCTCAGAGAAGCAAAAGGAGAAGGGCAAAACAAAAGCCAAAGAGAAGGAGGCTGCTAAGGATACACAGAAGAAGGACCATGAGGACGAGGAGACATCAGATGATGAACAGACGGAGACGGAGGAGGAGTTGGAGGAGGAGGAAGAGGTGTCGGCTGATGAGGAGACAGAAGACGAGGGTGAGAGCCAGGAGGAGGGCGAGACAGAGGAGGAGGACCAAACAGAGGAGGAGGACGCTGAGAAGAAGGAGAAGAAGTGCGGCAAGTCTGATGTGAAGGGCAAAAAACCAAAGAAGACGGAGTCTGAAAGTGAAGATGATAAGGCTTTGAAGGAAGAAGCAGGCAAGAGCAAGACAAAGAAGAACAAGAAGAAGGAGACGACCAAGGATGAAGGTTCAAGTGCAAAGAAGAGGAAGACAGAAGAGGATGTGGAAAAAAAGGAGAAGAGGAGAAAGTGTGCAGCTGAACGTGCGAAGAAGTCTGAAGGGAAGGGCTCAGAAGATGAGGAGACAGAAGAGGAGGTGGAAGACGATGAGAGTGCAAAACCAGAAAAGATTAACAGAAAGGAGAAGGCGTCTGGAGAGGATGCGAAGGAAGGCAAAAAAGCAAAGAAGGCAAAGAACAAGAAGCACAAGAAATCAGGGAAGACAAAGGACAAGAAGACCTTGGCAGAGGCTGAGGACAGCAAGCTGCCTAACTCTTCATCGCACAGGAAAGAGTGGATGCGTATGGATCGCTGGGTCAAGAACAAAAAGAGGTGTCCTGCAAAGATGATGGCAGCAGCGCAGACTCAGGAGAGCCAACTGTTTTGAGACCTCTATCAATTCCTACTCTAAAAAATTGGTATATCAAGGGGAATGTTCAAACAGCAAGTCTGCGTTTCCAGGAGGGTCGCCAGCAACTCTTTGAAGATTACATCAAGAATGGTTGCAGTTTTGAGGCGCTCAAGCTTACCTTTGAACGTCGCCTGGAAGAGACGCAGAAAACCAAGTTGCGTTATGGTTTTCGCAACTAAACCTGGTTGGCGCGCCACCACGGGGATAAGCGCGCTGAAAAGATCATGCAAAGAAAGAAAGAATTGGGATTGAATCACAGCTGAATGTTGTGTTTCGTGAATGATCCACAGTGATACATATATATATATATATATATTTACTCAATATGTGTATATATATATATGTGGGTATATCTATATCTATGCTGACGCACTGCCATGTATTGCACTCCCCTCGACATCAAACCATTCTTCCGATGTCTCATCTCAGGACTGTGAGTGACCCTGAGTTTCCCAATGACCCGGAGGAACTGCTCTATTTCGTGCTTGTGGAACTCGACATTGAAAACATCGCTGAGCTGAAAAGGGTAACCAAGCTTGAGATGGAAGGTGGCCTGGACGCCGATTGTTTGAAAGCGTTCGTGGAGGCCAGGTCTGCTCGTGCGAACAACAAACATATGACCCTTCCTCACTGCCTATAGGTTGGAGGCCATCGCTTTAAGTTGGAGCCCATTGCTAGTAGGTTGGACACCATCGCTTTTAGGTTGGAGGCCATAGTATCGGTTCCTCCGCTGCAGGCAGGTGGCAGCCTCAACGGTGATCAGCACTTGCAGATCGGGAACCTCATGGATCAGTCCGGCAAAAAGAAACTGGTTTCTGCAATGGGCGTCCCCAAAACTCCCAAGAAGCCCAAGACTCCAAAAGGGAAGGAAGGGGAAGGTGAAAGCCCTGAAGGTCCCCACAAGATGACTGAGCAATCCCCTTTGCAAAAGGCTATTGCTCTCCAGAACCAAGTCCTGAGCAAGGCCAACTCTTGCCGAGACCATGCGTTCAAATTGGGACCGTTGGCGATGTCAGAAGGCTTGATTGGGCAGTTGAACGCACTTGACGTGCAGCTCCAGGGGTGTGCCAAGAAGTTGCAGGGCCTGATTCGAGCCAACAAGGATAAGAACCATAAAAGAGTGGCTGTCATCCAAGAGGTTCCTTTGCGGAAATAGTTTTGGTAATCTGATCAACATTGATCAACGATTGTATCCAGTTCCAGGCCCCAAAATTATCCAAAACCATCCTACACCACCCAAGGTCAACGAAGCCACGGCTCTGGCGACAGAGCGATTGGAATTGGCCAGGGCGCTGATTCGGGCAAGTGAGAAAAACTCGAAGCCGAAGCCCAAGGCAAAGTCTCGGGCAAAGAAGGAGTGAAATCACTCTTTCTAACTTTTCAGGGGTGTAGCGTGGTTCCCAATGGCGCAGCTTAGGGGAGGGAAATCTCATGCTGCAAGGTGGGTTCCGCAATGATCCGACAAGTGATCAAGTGATCTTTCGAAGTCCAGCTCGAAGAAATGAAGCTATGTCTTTCGCTCACAAGAATCCAAAACCTACATAGGTTGACTGGATACAAAAACGTTGTTTTTGTATCCTCTCAACCTTTTTTGAAAGATACTGCACGGTCCCCAACGCGCAGGGAGCGATCGAGATCTCCCATCCGGTGGCCTTCAACCAATGGCGGATCGCCCCACATGAGGCCTGAGCTCAAAGATGCTTCACACTCTGCGCTGGCGTTGCTCCGAAAGATGTGCTCTGGTGTTTCTTGGTTCAACTGTGCTTCACCGCCTGCCCTTTCTATTTTCTACGCCCCTCCTTTCCTGTTACCAAAAGATTGACTTGTGGGAAAGTGTCTGATGGGGTTCAAGTTCTGTGTGAGGCTTCTTCAGTGGCCGATGGCTGCAGGTCTGCTGCCAACTTGGTGGCAGATGGTGTTTCATGTAAGCTGTCCGCAACACTGGCCAAATGGGCTGGCACTGGTCACGAAGAGCGAAACTTTTCACGGAGCCTTGTCCCAAACAAGTCACGGGTTCTATAGTGCATGGGAACATGTCCGGGTCTCTTTTGACTTTAGGCCCTGAAGATCCAAGAACACCTAAAAGCACTTTCACAAAAACTTCAACCCCACTAGTTCTGTCCCAGGTTGTTTGGACACCCGTGCTCAGGTGGTGCGCCAAAATGTGCTCAGTCCACCCTTCCTTCACTGCATTACCTTTGCTTGCGGAGGAAGCCCGCGATGGACAACCTGTTTTGGTGCGCACCCTTAAAGACAACGCGGTGATATGGCCGTGGGATCTGCTGAACTGGCTTTGGGAGTCTCCAGGTTCAACAATGTTCTATCAATGGGTGTCTGACAATTTGAATGTTGCTGGGCAAGCCGTTCAAGAATATTGGTCGCATTGTGAGGGCCTGGAGTTTTTTAGCCGGCTCAATTTGAAGAAAGAAGACTATGCCACCTGCATCCCTGTTTACTGGCACATGGACGGTGTGAAGGTATACAAAAACCAAAAAGCCTGGATCTATAGCTTTTGCAGTGCCACTCGGAAGGGCCTGTCTACAGGGACAAAGCTGGTATTTACATTGGTTCGCGACACCATTGTTCAGAAGCACAGCACGCATGATGAGATTGCCAAGCGCATTGGTTATTGCATGTCAGTTTTGGAAACAGGTCGGTTTCCTCATGTTGACGAATATGGTCGTCCCTTCCCACAATCCTCTGCGCAAGCCAGCCGAGCTGGCTCATGCTATGCTGGCGGGTGGACTGCGAGGTTCGCTGGGTTCAAGGCCGACTGGGAAGGGCGAGTGGTGGCCCACAAGTTTGAAAGAAACTACAGCGCGCACAACATATGCGAAAAGTGTAGTGCGACCCGTGCCAATTTCGGAAACTTCAACGATGACGCGGCCTACATGGGAACGCGCCGGTCTTTTGATGAGTACGTGCACTCATGTTCTGCCAGGAGGCTTTCTGCTTGGGTGAATGTACGTGGTTGGTGCCCTGACAGGAACTTGGAGGACCCTCGTGCAGTTTTGGTGCAATTGTTCTATTGTTTTCTTTGGTATGTGTTTTTGCGCCTGCGCTGGTTGTATGTGCGGGCGTCTAAGGACTTACTTCATGTGCTCCACCAGGGGGTTGCCATGGTCGCAATCGCCAGTTGCTTGTGTGAGGATTTAGAAGAGAAAGACCCACACCAAACTTTGGCACAGCTAGAGAAGCGCATGGGAGAAGAGTTGTGGAACTCTTACAAAAGCTGGTGCGCTGCACATCGCAAGACCCCTTGTTCACACCGGTTCAACCTGGCCCGGCTGGGTCGCGAGCAGTGGAATGCCTTCCCCGAGATGGGATCCACCTACAAAGGTGCGGTCATCAAAGACATGATTTACTGGAGCGCAGCCTACCTATGGCAGCAGCAAGGAACAACTCCGGGTTCAAATCTTCGGTGTCATGCGATGCACGCGCTGGCGACTTTCCAAAAAAGATTGACGAGAACCCTGGTTTTTTTAACCGGCGAGTGGCAAGAGAGACCGCCAACTATGCGCGAGTTTTCTTGCTGTTTTACCAGCGCTTAGCCGCCGACGACAGGGCGAAGTTTGGTGAGGTGCGGCGGTGTTACAAACTGACGCCAAAGTTTCATTGTATGGTTAACCTCGCCGAGTACATTGAACACAGCTGCAGAAACCCCAGGTGCCTAGCACGGTGTCAAAAGTTTGTGGTCTTAAGTGCCCTCGCCTGTGAGTTTCAAATCCACCGGACTCGCTTCAAACATCCTCAAATGTTAGTTTCATGATGTTTCATCTCTCTATGAATTTTGTTTCATGAAAGATGTCAAGAGCCATTGAGTCCATGTGAGCTTCAACCCTTTACTTAGGATGGTTTCAGGACACGTCTTTTTCATGGAAGGTCTTTAAGTGCCCCTGTGTGTGAGTTTCAAACCAACCTATATAGTGCAGTGTGCCCCCATGAGGTTTGAACACTGCTACGCCGAAGAAGATCTGATGCGTCAGATCGGCCGTGTGGCAAGTGCAACCCATCCGCGAACTATGGATTACACTACCCTCCACCGTTACCGGGCACTGTTGCAGCTGACCGGCGTGTTTCGAAGCCAAGCTGCGGGTGGACCGCGCCGCTGAAAGAAAAGGTCTTTGAGCCAGCGTGTGGACGCACGCAAGTCCAATGTTCTTGTCACCATGCACACAAAATCACAAAGCTGGCTAACCCAACAAGCATCAACAAAGTTGCGTTTCAAATTTATCCTAAAGAAGCTTGGCCCAAGGCAGTTTCAACTTAAACGAAGCGCAGGTTTCAAACATATCCTATAGGAGCTTGGCTCAAGGGAGTTTCAAACTTAAACTATAGGAAGCGTAGCCCTCACCCACCCACCCTTTTTCTTGTGGGGGTCGCCCGTGGACAGCCTCTCTCTTTGGGTCATTGGAAGTGGCTTTGCTTGGACGCTGCCGCCCCTTGTGCGCAGCCTTCGCCCACCCACCCTTGTTAATATTCGCGGGGGTCGTGTGGACAGCCTGTCTCTTTCGTGATTGGAAGTGGCTTTGCCTGGAACGCTGCCACCTCTTGCGCGCATCCTTCACCTTACCCACCCACCCACCCTTCTTAAATATTCGCGCGGGTTGCGTGTGGACAGCCTGCTGGAACGCTGCCACCTCTTGTGCGCAGTCTTCACCTTACCCCCCACCCACCGCTTAATATTCGCGCGGGTCGCGCGTGGACAGCCTGTATCTTTCGCGATTGGAAGTGGCTTTGCCTGGAATGCTGCCACCTCTTGTGCGCAGCCTTCACCTTACCCACCCACCCTTTTGAATTTCCGGGGGTTGCGCGTGGACAGCTCCACTCTTTTGGGATATCCTCTCACTTGCCCAGCTACCTTCATCCCTCGCGCGCCTGGCGCGCGCAGAGCCTGTATATTTTCGCGCGCCCGGCGCGCGCCAAGCCTTACTCTTTCGCGCGCCCGGCGCGCGCCAAGCCTTACTCTTTCGCGCGCCCAGCGCGCGCCAACGCGATGGCAGTCGCGCGCCTGGCGCGCGCTGTGCTCTTTCCATTTCTCTGCGGTTGAGATGGCGCGCCTGCCTCTCCTTCGCAATTGTCTGCTCAATTGTGGGCCCACTTGCTGGGTTGGACTTGGCTTCTTCGCAATTTTTGTTGGCGTTGGCATGCCTTCTACTTATACGCCAAGAGCACTAAATTCATGGTTTGCTCACGACAATTGATCATTGCCAACAGTCGGCTTAACTTTTGAGCTTGTCCAGAATCATATATTAGAAAGGCTCTTCAAACAAGCAGGAGGGATGTCTAGGCAGGAGATGTGGCACTCGGGTTCTGGATCATATCCACCAGTAAACGAAGTGCGACGATCACGATGTTGAGTTGTGTCGCGATAGTAGAAATGAGGTCAGAGGTGGTCGACTGTGACATAGTCCAGGTAGACGAGCAAGAGGGAAATGGGGAGCACACAATTGAGCCAAGAAGCTGAAGGTGAATCAAAGGCGAAAAAGGAAAAGGAAAAGGAACAGCATGAGATGTGACGGAAACAGTCCGAAAGTGAGAAAATGTGGCGCGAAGGATGTTTTCAAGCGAAAATGGGTCTCAAGTGCTGCGTCAAGAGAAACTGAGAAACCGAAGTTGGGCGTGAAGATCTCGTCGTGGTAGATGAAAACGATGACAAAGTTGATGAAGGAGAGGTAGGAGTTGAACCATCATAAAGTCTTTGTCGAGGTATTGTTGAGTCAAGTCTGCGAGTTGAGGAAAGATCAAATTCCGAGGGCGAGTCAGTCGGCAAATCAAGATGCCCCGTGTGAAGAAGCCGGCGAGAGCCATTTCTGGGGAACCAGCAGTACGATTGCTCCGGATCAATGTGAGGTGAGGTGGTTGTCGAAAGGTGATAGTACGTTGAGCCGTGGAAAGAGCGAACCCGAGCAGTGTCTCATCGGCGACATACTCCATCTCAAGTGGTCTGCCGTAGAAGAAGGGTTGAGCGATGGCCTGAAAGGAGTCAGTACGGAGCATGTGGGAGGTTCCAAGGAAGAATACATTGTCGACGTAACGTGCCCGAAGTGCCAGTCCTGTGGCATAACGCCAGGAAGAGCTCGGGAACGAGCGTAGAAAGCAGTATTCCCGGAAAAGTGCGACAGCGCTGCATAAGGCAGGTGCCAAAGGTGAACCCATGGAGGCTCCTTGACAGGTGAAGTAAGAGGATTCAAGCAAGTGAGATACCAAATCTGGTAAGTCACGAAGATGGATGGGATGGTAGGACCTGGAGGTCTTCCGCCATCGGCCCCGAAAGATCCGTTGAAGACGTTCTTGTTGATGTTGAGCAACGCTGAGGATAGGGTCGCCCTGCAAGTCCAGGCCTTGGAGAGCTGCGTAACGTGTGA